CCTCTTCTGGCATGCTGTGGAAACAGCATTCATATGCAAAAATACATAAGTAAATGTTTTAAAAAACTTGTTCCTTTTTCCTCTCCCATCCTCGTCCCCACCCCATTTCCTTTCTGTGTTGAGAATGATGAGGGGTCAGGGTTCTGGGCATGCTACACACTCACTCTGAGCCACACTCCAACTTTTTACTGCAGGTGCTTCAGTACAAACCACTGAAGTGAGCATTTTTTATATCCAACTTTTATCACTTCAGTAAGTGTTTTGCAAACTGCGTCTCTAGCACCGGAATTGTGGTATGGAGTATAAATATTTAAGTACTTAATGGAATAGAATGACTTGCTAAAATCAGTTACCACATCCCATTAAGGAGTCCCGTCCCCCACTCCTTTCCATTGTGAACTGCTTCCTGGCTTTAACTTAATATTTTGGTGGTGAGATCAAACCCAAGCTATAGAAGGTGTTCTGTTACAAGCTGCACTCCTCGTCACAACTGTTTCCTGCATTCCCTTGGATGTATTGATTATGGAGAGACCAAACAAATACTTCCAGCTCTTTTTAACCAAAAGCCAGATATAATTTTAAAAACTTTTTTTGGTCTAGTCTTTGGCCTTGAAATCCAAGGATGACCTTGGGTTTCTGACCCATCAGCATCCATCTCCCCAGTGCTGGTTTACAGATACAGCTGCGAACCTAGTTTATTCATGGCTGAGGATCAAATCCAGGAACCAACTGTACATTCCCAGCCCCAACTGAAAAATTAGTCTTATTGTTTTTTTACATGTCTGAGTGTTTTGCTTGCATGTATGTCTGTTTGCCCTGTGCACGCCTGGTGCACAGAGAACAGAAGAGGCTGTTAGATTCCCTGAGTCTCATCTTACGGTGTCTGAGCCACCAAATGGGAACTGAACCCAGGTCCTGTGGAAGAGTAGCCTGTGCCACCAGTAAACCAGCTCCAGCCCCAAAGATTTTATTTTATTTTATTTTATTTTGAGACTGGCCAGGAACTCACTATGTAGACCAGGCTAGCCTTTGCTGGGATGAAAGGTATGTATGCACTGCCATGTCCAGCTAGTAGATTTTTTTGCTTTTGTTTGTTTGTTTGTTTTTGGTTTATCTGTAGCCTTGACTGTGCTGGACTCACTTTGTAGGCCAGGCTGGCCTCGAACTCAGAGATCCTCCTGCCTCTGCCTCCCAAGTGCTGGGATTACAGAGGTGCACCACCGCACCTGGTTTAATTTTTAATATTTAAAAAAGTTTCTCCTTTGTACAAAGAAATATAAGGAAAAAGATGCATTATTGTGTAATCTTTGAAATTTTAAAATAATTTTTCTTACTCGAGGACTTTACCTGTGCACAGTACAATATAATCATATTTACCCCCCCCATTTTCCTCCTCCAGCTCCCCCCACATGTGCCCCAATATGTCGTTAAGTTCAGTCAGTCCTGGCCCAGTGGAGCTTGGGAAAAGCCGCCAGTTTTTCCACTCTTGAGCATAGGATGGTCTCCCTCCCTGCACCTGTCAGCTGCGTGCCAGTCTATGCTGGACAGTGGCTACCCGGAGCTTAGGTAGGTTTTGTGCTGCCAACTAAAGCTGCTCTGAGTTCATGAGTGAGGCAGACATGTCCTATCCAGAAAGCAGACTTTCACAGCACTTACAGCTTCTGCTCCTCTTCCCCAACCTTCCCTGAGACTGGAGTGCATGCGTGCGGGTGTGCAGTGATAAATATGTCCCATTTAGGGATGAAAATTCAGTACCTTTTTCTTAGTACTTTGGCTAATTAGAAATCTCTACACTAAGGGATAACCAAGGCAAAAAAAAAAAAAAAAGACTCTATAAGTACAAATATTTAGAATGCAGTTGAAGACATCAATTGAGCAGAATAATGATAGAATAATGATAAGACTCTGGGGTCTTATCATGTAGCCCTGACTGTCTTGTTCTGTAGGAACTTACTTTGTAGGTCAGGCAGACTTCAGATTCACAGAACCCCACCAGCCTCTGCCTGGAGTGCTTGGTTGGCCACGGGCTTTTGGCCAGAATTACAGTAACAGATGTGAAATGGGATACCTGATAACAGCTGGGCCCTAATTGCTCCTGTAGGCACATGTTGCCTGGCAGACCAGAATTTTACTGGGTAAGACCACTGATGGCTGTTCTCTCATAGAACCTCTGGCACTATTAGAGCTAACTAGCAGGAAGGAAGTTTCCTAGTCAACTTGAGGTTCATCTCTCTATGTCCTGCAATTGATGTGAGTGGTGTTTTCAGTAATACAGCCTTAGTGTGTGGTTATGAGACATTAAAACATTTTAGACGAGCAGGGCAATGGTGGCATATGCTTTTAATTTCAGCACTTGGGAGGCAGAGGCAGATGGACCGCTGGCTTAGAGGCCAACCTGGTCTACAGAGTTTCAGGATAGCCAGGGCTATACAAGGAAACCCTGTCTGAAAAAAAAAAAAAAACACAATATGTATGTATGTATTTACATTAAAGACTATAGAGCTGGAGAGATGGCTCAGTTGTTAGGAATATCCACTGCTCTTGCAGAAAACTAGATTTTGGTTCCCAGTACCCATGCCCGGCAGCTCAGCAGCCATGGGACCTGATGCCCTCTTCTGGCCTCTTTGGGCATCTACACTCACCTGTGCACACACATACATGTTCACATAATTAAATAAAAATAAATCTTTTTTTTTTAAGCTGGGCATGGTGGCACACAACTTTGATCCCAGAATTCAGGGAGGCAGAGGCAGGTGGATTGCTATGAGTTCTAGACTAGCCTGGTCTACAAAGTGAGTCCAGGACAGCCAAGGTTACATAGAGAAGCCCTGTCCTGACCCCCCCCCCCCCAAAAAAAAAAAAAAAGGTTTGCTTTGTTTTTTGAGACAAGGTTTCTCTGTGTATCCCTAGCTGGAATCCACTCTATAGAACTCAGAGATCCATCTGCCTCTGTTTTTTTTTGAGCTGATAGTAAAGGCGTGTGCTACTATGCCCAGCTAAAATAAATCTTAAAAAAAAAAGAATTTAAATTATTTTGTCTTTGTCTTATTTTTTTTTTAATTTTATGTGATGTTTTGCCCAAATGTATGTCTGTGTGAGGGTGTCAGATCCCCTGGAACTGGAATTAGAGGCAGCTGTGAGTTGCCATGTGGGTGCTAGGAATTGAACCAAGGTCCTCTGGAAGAGCAGTCAGTGCTCTTAACTAGAGAGCCATCTCTCCAACCCCTAAGAAAGAATATGATCAAGGTCATGCCTTGTAATTCCAATACTTGAAAGGAAGAGACAAGATTGCTGTAAGCTAAAAGCCAGTCTGGTCTCCATCAGTTACAGACTAGCCACAGCTTCATAGTGAGACTGTCTCAAAAATATACAAAAACAAAGCCAAAACAACAAGGAACACTTGATAAAAAGTTAACAATGCAGGATGCACAATAGAAAGTATCATCTAACCTGGTTTCTCTTTCCAGAGTTACCACTGTAAACACTTGTGTAATTCTTCCTAGACAAATAATATCCAGTATGTAGTGGGAATTGTGGCATTTACAGATGTTCGGTCTAATTCTGGCCAACTTGCCTTTCTTTTGGTTGAGGTAGCAGCTTTCTTTAACTTTTTTTTTAAAGTTCACCCCCCCCCCCCATCATGGGTGGATCTAGAGGCTCACATTTCAGTTGGACACATGTGGACTCTAGTAAAGTGATTCAACAGAATGGTCTGATTGGAGACACAACCAAGGAATCTGTCACTTATGACAGCAGGGAGCAAACTATAAACACAGCTAGAAAATCTTTGCTTAGATCCCTGAATTTTATACTGTTTACAGCATGTTCCCTGGGTCTGATGATCTGTTCTGTTTGCTCTTTTGTTCCCCTGCCTGGCTTCCTGCCTGGTAGACAGGTGCTCCCCCCTGAGCTACAGGTTCTTAGAGCAGCATCCTCATTTCTGATTTTATATACATCTTCAAAAATGAGGGAAGGGTACCAGTGACTGTATAGCGGCCTTCCATTCTTGTTTTCCTCACACCCTAGGGAGCATTGTACACTTGTGTCATCAATTTTGCATTGTTTGTTTGTTTCTCCAGACAGGGTTTCTCTTTGTACCCTTGGCTGCCCTAAACTTACTTTATAGACCAGGCTGGCCTTGAACTCACAGAGATCTCTCTGCCTCTGCCTCCCTGATTACTGGAAGCATAGGCGTGTACCACCGCCCAGCTTCTGGTGTGCATGAAAACAGAGCATTAATATACATAAAATAAATAAGGAAATCTTAAAAAGAAAGAAAACACGTCTTCATGTTGATCTTCAGGAAATTTGCCCAACAGAGTGGGGTAACACCCAGGAAGCAGTCATACCATAGGCAGTGAGGGGCCCCCACACCCAATCACACCATGTGAGATACATGAGGAATACACAGTGGCAAGCAGGGAAGGCAAAGCAGCAGCAAGAAGCCAGCCAGAGACAAGGCCCGGGGCTCTGCCTCCCCAAGGTGTGCCTATTGCAGCTGTGCAGAACGAGGCGGGTCTCCAGGCAAGCCGCCTGCCCACTGCATCGTGGCGTCTGCCACCTTCCCTAGTGCATCTCAAGAGGGTCTGCACCAGACTTACAACTCTGTAGGGGAAGATCTTTTAAAACTTTTAGGGTTTTTTGTTCGTTTGTTTGTTTGTTTTTACTATTAATGAATGGCTCCCCACTTTCCATTTTTCTGTCTGGCTTCCCACGAAGGAACTGGGCTTCGTGGGATGCTAGAACCTCACACTGAGATGAGGAAGCCCCTATACAACCTCACTCTGTGACACTCCTTACTGACGGCCATGGAGCACACTCCTGCTGTCAGATGCTCCTCTCACTAGGTTCCCTCAGTTCCCAGCCATCCTATGGGTTTTCAGGGCTCTAGAATGGGATGCCTTTCGCAGGTGTGCATGTTCCACATGGGAACATCTATGGCATTCCTCTTCCATCTCACGAGCCCAGCTGAGGTCTAACCTGCTTTGTTTCCCCTCCAGGGAAAGCCATATGTGTTTGACCGAGTGTTCCCCCCAAACACGACTCAGGAGCAGGTTTATCATGCATGTGCCATGCAGATCGTCAAAGGTAAGACTTGTAATCATAATGTATTTTCCCATGTTCACCATCACCCACCCCATACACACACACACACACACACACACACACACACACACTTCAGATCTCTTTTTCTGCTTTCTCTTCCAGATGTCCTTGCTGGCTACAATGGCACCATTTTTGCTTATGGACAGACATCCTCAGGGAAAACACACACCATGGAGGTGAGGGATCTGACCTGGGGTATGAGGAAGGTTCATAGAAGATCAAGGAATCTCCGTTGGGGGAAACCCAGGGATGAAGGGTGGATGGGTCTGGAGGATGAGAAGAGGTTTGGAGGAATCCCTTTGCCCACCTACTTTCCCTCCCTCTCCTGACCCCTGATGTCCTGTGACCTGGAAAGTCAGCAGCAGTAGACGTCCAGGCATGCTGACATGGTGGTGATGATCCCCCGAGAATGCTCTTAAGCCACTCCCTACCTCTGTGCCCCCTGCCAACCTCTGAGCTGTCTCACTGTGAGTCTCAGCCTCACTCACGCCTTCGTTCCTCAGGGCAAGCTGCATGACCCTCAGCTGATGGGCATCATCCCTCGGATTGCCCGGGACATCTTCAACCACATCTACTCCATGGATGAGAACCTGGAATTCCATATTAAGGTGACTAGCCAATAATGGCTTCTGGGGCCCCAGCAGGGAGGGGCTGAGAAGGAGAGACCTGGAATGAGCCAACTAAAGCTTTACTCTTTCCTCCAACTTACCTCAGTGGCTCACCAAGATGTCCTAGCCTGTGCTTTCCAGCCACCGCTTGTTCTTCCAGAGGTCCTAGTTCCCAGTGCACACGTGGTGGCTCACAACCATCTCCACCTCCAGTTCCGGTGGAGCTGCTGGGCTCTATGGGATCCATGCATGTACATGATACACAGACATACAAGTAGCAAAAGATAAATGAGATTAGAACAACCACAGACCATCTTCTCACACTGTCCCCTTTCTCACTGATTAGGTGTCTTACTTTGAGATTTACCTGGATAAGATCCGGGACCTTCTGGATGGTGAGTGGTTGGTCCCAGTTGATAAAAACATGTGAGGAGGCTGAGGACAGTCATCCCACCTTCATCCAGAGATTGGTGGGGTTGAGCATTGGGGACAGGCCTCTTCACACCAGGGTCCTCTGGTTCTTTACCCCACAGACTTTTCAGTTAGGAATGGTGGCACTTGCCTGTAAGCCTAGCTACTTGGGAGGCTCGGAGGCTGGAGGACTGTGATTTTGAGGCTACCCCGGGAAACCTAGCAAGACTGTGTCTTAAAAGGAAAGAATAAGAAGGGGCACGGTGCCTGGTCGCACCTGGCATGAGTGAGGCCTTGGGTCAAAGTCTAATTAACATGGGGGGAACAGAGAAAGGAGGAGGAAGAGGGACTGGACTAAAGGCAGAAGTGCTTTCCTATCGTGTGTGAGGTGCTGGGTTCAGTCTCCTGTGAGACAGAAACAAACAAAAGAAAAAGATCTCTCCAAGCCTGGAAGAGTCAGGAGATGCGCTCAAAGGCTCGGTGCTCGGTATGCAGAGCCCGAGAAGAGTCCTGGGAGGAGGAGGGAAGAGCAGAGCTTCCTGTAACCTGGGGAGCCTTCCTACCTTTAGATGACTGCAGAGCGCCTAGGGGTGGGAGCACTGGCCTCTCACACTGCTCTGTCTCAATTCAGTGACCAAGACAAACCTGTCTGTGCATGAGGACAAAAACCGGGTGCCGTTTGTCAAGGTGAGAGCGGGGTGGGTTCTTGTGTGTGGCTGGGTGTCAGGTGTGTGTGATGGAGGATGGGCCAGTGACCCCGGAGCTGGGTGATGGAGATGTGCCAAGAGGGACTTAGAAGTGACCCCTGACGGTCACTTGGGTGGCATGTGGGTAGCTCAGTCTGAAGAACAATGCTTATGGCTACCACCCACCTCCTGCAGGGCTGTACCGAACGCTTCGTGTCTAGCCCAGAAGAGATTTTGGATGTGATCGACGAGGGGAAGTCAAACCGACACGTGGCTGTCACCAGTGAGTGGGGACACGGAGAGCTCTTCTGTGCCCACTGGGGGCAAGCGAGCAGGGAGGAGGGGCCGCCTGCCTGGGAGATGGCACAGTAGGGATGGCCAGAGGCCCTTTCCCTCTCCGAGGTTGGAATGGCAGTGGGCTCTGTCCTGTGTCTCCTGCAGATATGAATGAGCACAGTTCCCGGAGCCACAGCATCTTCCTCATCAACATCAAGCAGGAGAACATCGAGACGGAGCAGAAGCTCAGTGGGAAGCTCTACCTCGTGGACCTGGCTGGAAGCGAGAAGGTTGGTGATCTATGCAGTGAGGTGGGGGCGGGGGGTGGAAAGGAACCCTTGGGGAAGATTTGACTTTTGTTAAATTAAATTTGAAAGAAAGATAAGTTTGGTCATATGTTCTGGCAATTCAGTGTCATTCTAGCACTTGGGAGGGACAGGCAGATACTATGAACACCAATAACAAGCAAACATTTCACCATTAAAATACATCATGGGGAAATGGTTCAATAGGTAAGTGATTTGGTGTGCAAGCCTGAGGACCTGAGTTCAGATCTCCAGAAGCTACATCTAGCTAGGCCTGTGGCTCAGGTCTGTAATCCTAGTGCTTCTACAGTTAGAGGGTGGGGTGATGAGCAGCAGAGACCAAGGTAGAAATCTCAGACCAACACCTGAGGTTATGCTCTGACCACACACATGCTCGTACCCTCCCCACCCATCTTTCACACACACTCTCTCTCTTAATCCAAGACTGAGGACATAACTCAGTAAAGCCTTTACTGAGGAGGTGTGAGACCCTAGGCTTGACCTCCACCTACCACTGCCTAAGCAGGGCGCACTGGTGTGTGCCTGTTATCCTCGCACTTGAGAGATGGAGGCAGGAGGCTCAGACTGCTCAGGTTCATCGTTAGCAATGTAGGGAGCTCTTGCCAAAAGAAAACACAGTTGGTAGAGTGCTGCCGTCCAGGCGTGAGGACCCGGGTTTGGTCCCCAGTGCCAGCATGGTGGCGCATGCCTGTGAGTCTAACACTAGGGGCGTGGAGACGGCCAGATCCTTGGGGCTCCCTGGCATAGCTTAATCAGAAAGCCCCAGGTCCCAGGGACACACACACACACACACACACACACACACACACATACACACGGAACAAACAGTCCCGAGTCAGGCCTGATGTTGTACATCTGTAATCCGTGCAGTCAGCAGGCTTGGATACACAGCGAGACTCTTCCCACTGTTACCCCCAAACAATGCAGTCAATTTAGCTTGCTCTCGAGATCACATGTGGCCATTACTACCAAATTCTAGGACATTTCTGTTACCCACTCACAGTCACTGCCCATTCCTTCCTGACACCATTTCCTGGCAACCCCTGATTTACCCTCTGGCTCTGAGTTTGCCGATCATGAATATTTCATATAAATGAAATATATGAAAGTATATGAAGCGGGGGCAGGTGGGCCTTCAGCAGGAGAGTTCAGGGGTGGAGGAAGTGTCTTCCTGATCCTCAGGCACCTCCTTTATCCGGTTCTCCGTTCCCTCCCTCTTTTTGCACTGGGCCTGTCGAAGTGGGGGAGCTGTGGTTAACCCCTCCTCCCCTGTAATTCTCTGACAGGTGAGCAAGACAGGGGCAGAGGGAGCCGTGCTGGATGAGGCAAAGAACATCAACAAGTCGCTGTCCGCCCTGGGGAACGTGATCTCCGCTCTGGCTGAGGGCACTGTGAGTGTCCCCTCGTTACCCCTCAGCCTCTTCCCTGTGTCCCCGCTTGCCATTCCTGCCCAAAGGCATGAGCTGCTAAGTCTCCAGTGAGCATCGCTCTCCTTTGTTTCCCTGCTGAGATCATTCTTCTCACCCACGCCGCCTACTCTAGAAAAGCTACGTGCCATACCGTGACAGCAAAATGACTCGGATTCTCCAGGACTCGCTGGGAGGAAACTGCAGGACCACCATGTTCATCTGTTGCTCGCCCTCCAGCTACAATGACGCAGAGACCAAGTCCACCCTGATGTTTGGGCAGCGGTCAGTGCCAGGGACCCCAGAGGGTCCGGGCACCCTGCCCGTGTCTCATCCCTTGCTGTTCTCTCTCTCTTTCTCACATACACACACACATGCATACACAGGCACATGCAAGCACACACATGCACACATACATACACACTCACACACATGGCCATGCACACACAC